TCCCCCGCGCCCCCACCCACCGCCCTCGCCTCCCGAGAACAACCCTCCCTTTTACAGGAATTTTACAGCCAAATCGCTTAATGTGATTATAATAATTATTTCTTTACTAGAAATTGTATAAACAGCCTCTTTTGAAATCTCCTGCAGGGAGGTGGCCGAGAGCTCTGCACAGAGGAGGGGAGGGGTGTTAGGGGCCCTGGCCTGCATGTGGCATGTTCACGTGTGCACACACATGAGCACACACGTTTGGCGTGCATGTGTGTATGTGCGCAGCATGGTGAGCATGTGGTTGTGTGCCTGCAAACATGTGTGTGTGAACACATGGCATGGTCGTGAGCATGCATGCATGTGTGGAGGTGCATGTGCTGCCTGTTGCACACGTGTGCCCTTCATGGTGTCCACGTGTTTACATGTGTGTATGTGCACCATCACTTTCTGTGTGCATATGTGGGCATGCGGTGTGGGGTGTGCATGTGTTGAGCCCTGCAGGGGTTCGTGTGTGTGCACTACACACACATGTGTGGACTTGGTCAGGGCTGCCAGGGCCTGGACGTGCCTCCAGTTTAAGGGCTGTGAAAATGTTATGGTTTCCATGGTGACTCTGGCCAGCCTGGCGCCTGCGAGGGCCCTTCCGTGCTCCTCTCCCCCCTCACCCCCAGGCTCCGAGTCCATCCCCCACTCCCTTTCTGGGGGCCCCTCTCCGAGAACCTGAACTTGTACGTCTCCCAGCTCCTCCCCCCTCCCCCAGTTTTAAAACCTCATTTTGTTTCCCCGTGTGGTCGCTGACCGGCCTGACTTTGAAATCTGTTGAAAGGAGACCTTTCTCTTTGGGGCCAAAGTAAACAGCCTGTCATGTTAAATCACGCTCTCTTCCTCCGTCCACCCGGCCTGCCCCGGCGCTGGGGCGGGCGAGCCCCTCTCCTCCCCCGCGGAGCCTCCAGCTAGTGCAGGAGCTGGGTCAGCGCTGCCTGCCAGCCTTGGCACACTGCCCGGGGTGCACGAGCCCCGTCCCCGCAGGCCCCACCTGGGCNTCCCCCGCGCCCCCACCCACCGCCCTCGCCTCCCGAGAACAACCCTCCCTTTTACAGGAATTTTACAGCCAAATCGCTTAATGTGATTATAATAATTATTTCTTTACTAGAAATTGTATAAACAGCCTCTTTTGAAATCTCCTGCAGGGAGGTGGCCGAGAGCTCTGCACAGAGGAGGGGAGGGGTGTTAGGGGCCCTGGCCTGCATGTGGCATGTTCACGTGTGCACACACATGAGCACACACGTTTGGCGTGCATGTGTGTATGTGCGCAGCATGGTGAGCATGTGGTTGTGTGCCTGCAAACATGTGTGTGTGAACACATGGCATGGTCGTGAGCATGCATGCATGTGTGGAGGTGCATGTGCTGCCTGTTGCACACGTGTGCCCTTCATGGTGTCCACGTGTTTACATGTGTGTATGTGCACCATCACTTTCTGTGTGCATATGTGGGCATGCGGTGTGGGGTGTGCATGTGTTGAGCCCTGCAGGGGTTCGTGTGTGTGCACTACACACACATGTGTGGACTTGGTCAGGGCTGCCAGGGCCTGGACGTGCCTCCAGTTTAAGGGCTGTGAAAATGTTATGGTTTCCATGGTGACTCTGGCCAGCCTGGCGCCTGCGAGGGCCCTTCCGTGCTCCTCTCCCCCCTCACCCCCAGGCTCCGAGTCCATCCCCCACTCCCTTTCTGGGGGCCCCTCTCCGAGAACCTGAACTTGTACGTCTCCCAGCTCCTCCCCCCTCCCCCAGTTTTAAAACCTCATTTTGTTTCCCCGTGTGGTCGCTGACCGGCCTGACTTTGAAATCTGTTGAAAGGAGACCTTTCTCTTTGGGGCCAAAGTAAACAGCCTGTCATGTTAAATCACGCTCTCTTCCTCCGTCCACCCGGCCTGCCCCGGCGCTGGGGCGGGCGAGCCCCTCTCCTCCCCCGCGGAGCCTCCAGCTAGTGCAGGAGCTGGGTCAGCGCTGCCTGCCAGCCTTGGCACACTGCCCGGGGTGCACGAGCCCCGTCCCCGCAGGCCCCACCTGGGCGCCGCTTACCCTCCCCCAGCCCAAACCCCATGCCCTCCTGCCCTCCCCTCTTCCAGTGCTGTCAAACCTGCCTCAGGAACACCTCCCCAGCCTGCCTGCTTGCCGAGCTCCACCCGGTCTCTCGGGGGCTTCTCGGGGTGCTCACCCTGCCCAAGACTGCCCCCACCCCGGACACCATCACAGGGCTCCTAGGGCCCGTGTCCAGCCCGGGCAGGACCGCCCTGCACTCTTCCTGCCTCTGCTCCAGGCGCCACACGGCGGCCTCACGCCACCCCAGGGCTCAGTCCCAGGCGTCCACGCCTCGCGGTGCTCACCGGGGATCTTCCTACAGCGTGTCGGATGGATGGGTCTCCAGGCTAAGGGTCCACTTCCCCCTCCCACCCCAGGTCACACCTGCCTTCTCTCCGCTCTCCTGGCACCCCCTCACCTCTCTGTCCATGTGGCTCCGTTCCGCCGCCATCTCCCGGAGACTCTGGCTCAAAGCCGTGGTCTCCCTCTGATGGGCCGTGATGGCGTCCTCAAACTGGGCCTGCAGGGCCTTCAGCTCTGCCACCGTGGCGTTGACCGTGGCCTGGGGGGAGCAGTAGCCAACGAGGAATCAAGGGGCCGCCGCCCATGGCCTGGGCACCCAGTGGTCTGCTCAGGGCCACGTGGGCAGCCACACGAAGTCCTGGGACCAACGGGCGGCTCGTTCAGGCTGCACAAGGCAGGTGAGGGCCAGAGCCAGGCCGGGGCTCCAGGGGCCAGTTCTGATCCTGACCACAGCCAGTGCCACCAATGCCAGGTCCCAAGTGGACACAATGGTGCAGAGGCCCCAGAGAGGAGTCCCTATGGGGAGGGGCTGACCCTGTTCCCCCATCCCCTGTGCCTTTCCTCTGGGGTCCCCAGGCTGCCAGGCCAGGGCGGGGCTCCAGCGCCAACCCCTTTCCTGCCTAAACCACTGCTGTCAGGCCCACTCTGCTGAGCGGTGAGTAGCCAGAAATGGCTGTTCGGCAAATGAGAAGAGACCCTCCCCTCAGGTGACACTGGGTTTGGGCTCCTGCCGCTGGGTGGGGCTGGCATTTGCACCAGGGGCTGAGCTTCTGCCCTCTCAGGCTTGTGTAGCATAAGAGGATCACCCCACATCCTGCACCCTCTGGCCTGGGGTGTCAGAGAAGGTGCCTCCAGGGCCTGCCCATCAGCATAGGGCAAGAAAGGCTGGATGCCCCTCAGCAGACAGGGCAGTACTGGGGGAGGGAGACTGGCCCTGTCCCAGGGTCCAGGTGACCATAGGAGCCCCTCTGTCAGCCTCACCCTCCGTTTCCTGAACTTTCAAACCCGCAGGAAGGATCAGGTGACACCCACAGTCCCTGCCTCTCTCAGGGGGGCCACTGCTGCGTGGACCACAGGCCACACTCAGGTCGCTCAGACATCCTCGAATATCAGGACTCAGCCCAGAGAATCTGCTCTCCTGTGGCCACAGCACCCAAGATGCTCCTCCTGGGGGCTGATGGGAACTTGGAAGAGGTGACTCCTCGTCCAAGAGCAAGGATGCCACCTACTCACCTGAGCCCTAGGCCCAGCCCAGCCCCTTTGCTGGGATCCAGGCTGGTCTGAGGGTTTTCTGAGCAGGCTTCCTGCTCCCAGGAGGCACAGGAGCCCCTGCAGCCTCCCTGCACCCCTCTCTGGGACACATGCCCCACTCCCCTGCCCAGGGCACTGGGCTCGATCAGCTCTTGCCTCCTGCTCTCTGTGAGGAGCCTCCTCTGTCCTCGCTCCTGCTGTACCACTCCTGACTGGGGGCCGAAGGCACTGCTCTGGTGGGCGCTCAGTGTGGCTGGGCCAGGATGGCCCCTGCCACCCCCCTCCCGCCCCCAGGACCGTGGGTGACAGGACGCAGCCCCGCAGCCCCTCCACCCGCAGTGGGCTCGTTCTTATATCACCCACAGCCGGTGCTCCTTGGCTGGCCTTTCTCCCTCCCTCCCCTCTCGGTGGGTTTTCATTTCCATTTTCCAAGCCGAGGTGGCTGAAGAACACTTAATGAGCTCCCTGAAGAGCCCGCTGGCTGGCAGGCCGTCCGCAGCCCAGGGGGATACTCAGCCACAGAGAGGGGAGGCCCCCAGCAGGCCCCAAGATCTGGGAAAGGGGGGAGCTCTCAGGGTCTGAGGGGCTTTCTTAGTCTCCTGCTGCTGGGGAGGGGCCGAGGGAGCATCTGCGGGGGTGGGAGGAAGGAGAACACAACCTCAGGGCCCCTCACACCCCTTTTGGCCGTGTCCATGGAAGGGCCATTGGCCAGGGGGTGGGACAGAGCCTGAGGGGGCTACAGGGAGCAAGGATCTGGGGCAAGGCTCTCCTGGGTGCTGGGAGCCCCCCCCCTGCTCTGCTCAGAGTGACAGGGATCCAGGTGCCTGACAGGTAGGAGGGGCAGAGACACCAGGCAGCCAGCTCCTAATTGCAGCCCCTTGTCCACCGCATAGCCCCTGCCCCCTGCCCGCAGGTCATGGTGAACTGCAGGGCCTCCCAGCCAGGACTTCCAGTCCCTGCAGCTCAGGGCCTGGCAGCACAGTCCATACGTGTCCCCAGGCTCATTCACTCCTCCCGAGTCATTCACTCAACGCCAAGGGAGCATCTGAATGTGCCCTTGGGACAGGGACACACGAGGGACCAGGTGAAAGGGATAACCCTGGGTTAATAATGAAAGAGAGGCACTGGCATGGAAGGTGACCAGGGCTGGAGGGACAGAGGCAGGAGCCTGTGTCTGCTCAGGGCTGGCCCCCAGGGCAGCTGTCCGACCCCAGCCGCAGGCAGTGCTCCCGAGCTCCGTCTCCATCTGTGTCCTGTCACCTCGCTCTGACCACCTCCCCCTGTGGGCAGACCCTTGCCTCCGCCTTGCCCACTTCATTAATGGGCTGAGGCCACCCTGTCAACGACGGCAGTGGGTGCCCACGGGTAAGGACACAAGGCCCCAGAGTTACTGCTTTCCCAGAGTCCTAGTTGCTGCTCCCTGACCTGCCCCAGACACAGGCTCCTGAAGAGGAGTCAGGGGTCCCAGGTGACCCCAGCTGGCTGCCGGCAGCAGCCTCCATGCCTCTGTCCACTGTCGAGGGCAGGCGGCTGCCTCCTGGGTCTCTCCTGGCCTGTGGCCGGCTGCCTCTCTCCAGGCTCCACAGGACTCTCCGTGGGTGTCCTTCCCGGGGAGGGTTTGCCTCAGGTAAATTCGGCCTCCCCTGATTTGGTTTCTCCTTTGGAAGGAGCCCCTCCAGCGAGTCCCATTTCCTGCAGTTATGTTCAAATGCACGGACAGGTAAGGCTGGGGGCCAGTGGGTGTGGGGGACACAGGCCTGGGCTCTGCTGCTGGCTCATGTGCAGCCCAGGCCCTCCCTTCTCTGGCGGAGTCCCTGGTGCCTGTGGCAT